GCTTTCTATAGAGTTCAGGGTTGGAAGAAACATGTAAATATCACACAGGACATATATACAGTAAAAACTTACTTGAATGTCTCAAGTTCAGTCTAACTGGGTGCCTGTATTTTTATTTGCCCAATTTGGCAACCCTACTAGGCTGTGCCACTCCCACACTGATTCTCTCATCCAAAGATGGGGCTCTGGGAAGCTCAGACAAAATGTGGCCAATCCGGACTCTGACAACCAGAGAAGGTTGGCAGGGAGGTGGCTCTGAGGAAATCCAGTAGCAACTGACATGCGCTCTGGGGGTGGAAATAACCAGAATTAGGTTTTCATTAGCACGAGCACCAGAAGAGAGTAACTGTCCTAAGCTACGTCTCTGTGTGCTGTACATTACAGCAATTTCACTTCCATTATCTTAGACTCACACAATCGCCTTGCAAGGTAGGTGTTATGCACCACTTTCCAGATCAGGAAGCCCAGATGCAGAGATTAAATGATCTGTCCAAAGTCACCCCACTTGAAAGTGTCTAAACCACCCTTTCCATGTAGGTTTCCTGACTGTTAACTGTCCACTCTACATTCTCATCACCCATGGGCCAAAACTATCACCCTTTCCTCCCCATGACAAGTGATCAAATGGGAAAGAGTCCCTTAGAAAAGTTGATGTTATTTTTATGGAAGACTCTACCATGAAGGCAGGAACACAGCAGGTTGAGAAAAGAGGGGGCAGCCCTGGGAAGAGAGAAGGCTGGAAGCAGAGGTAGAGGCCAGAAAAAGTGCAAGGAAGGGCTGGGGGTAGTGGCTCACATCTGTAATCCCAGCACTTTGGGAAGCTGAGGCAGGCAGATCACAAGGTCAGGAGTTCGAGACCAGCCTGGCCAACATGGCGAAATCCCATCTCTGCCAATAGTAGAAAAAAATTAGCTTCACGTGGTGGTGCATGCCTGTGGTCCCAGCTACTCGGGAGGCTGAGGCAGGAGAATCATTTGAACCCAGGAGGTGGAGGTTGCAGTGAGTCGAGATCATGCCAACTGCACTCCAGCCTGGGTGACAGAGGCAGACCCTGTCTCAATAAAAAAAAGTGCAATGAAAAAATACACAATTTGCTTAATGTTATGTGGTTAAGCTCTTTAAGCCTCAGTCTCCTCAGCTGGGAGAGCTGCCCAGACGTGCAAGGATGCAGAAACTCTCATTTTCTCCATTTGTGCTGAGGCTTCCCAATCGTGTCTGCAGCCTGCTACCTCAGCACCCCTCACAAAAGCACTATTTTAGTTTCTAGTGAAGTGAAAAAGGGGAACGACAGTTTCCCTTCCCAAACCAGTTGAGAAATTATTTAAAGATAGAGATCCTTAAATGCTCGGTTTAAGGAAGCATGCTTCTAAAGGAGGTTGACAAATGACACAGTGTAGTTCTTTACTTCACCCTCTCTGGGCGATGACTTCAGGAAAGCTTTGTGCAGGTGGCATCTGGCGGATGCTAAGCCAGCCAAGCAGGCTCAGACCTGGGGGCAGAAACTGGCTCATACCTGTAATCCCAGCACTTTGGGAGGCTGAGGCAAGTGGATCACCTGAGGTCAGGAGCTCGAGACCAGTGTGACCAACATGGTGAAACCCCATCTCTACTAAAAATACAACAATTAACCAGGCGTGGTGGCGGGTGCCTGTAATCCCGGCTACCCAGGAGGCCAAGATAGGAGAATCTCTTGAACCCAGGAGGCAGAAGTTGAAGTCAGCTGAGATCACACCACTGCACTCCAGTCTAGGTGACAGAGCAAGACTCTGTCTCAAAAAACAAACAAACAAACAAACAAAAAGAATAGGAATTTATTCTCTCATAATTCTCAATGCCAGAAGTTTGAAATCAAAGGGTCAGCCATGCTGGTTTTCTTTGAAGGCTCTGAGGAAGAACCTGCCCCCTGCCTCTCTCCAGCTTCTGGTGGTCACCAGCAATCCCTGATGCCCTGATGCTCCTTAGCATGTAGATGCATCACCCCAACCTCTGCTTTTGCTCTTCCCTGTATCTTCTCTGCGCTCTCAATTTCCCTTTTTTTATTATAAGGACACCAGCCACTAGATCAAAACTCATCCTAATGCAGAATGTCCTCATCCTAACTTAACCACATCTGCAAAGACCCTGGTTCCAAACAGGTCACAGTACAGACACCTGGAGTTAGACCTTTAACATATCCTTTCATGGGACACAACTCAACCCACAGCAGTAGCTATTGTTCTAATCCTTGTATTACAGATTAAACTGAAACCCAGAGAGTAACTTACCCAGAGACACAGAAAATAGGGGGTATGACTCATTTTCATACCTAACGGGTGTTTCATTTTCATTTCTAATCCTCATCTCAACCGCATGAAGTCATATCCCTCATTTTACAAGCGGAGGCTCAGATAATTTAAATGGCTTTTCCAGTCTCTGAGTCTCTTTGTGATGCTATAAAGGAATACCTGAGGCTGGGTGATTTATAAAGAAAAGAGGTTAATTTGGCTCATGGTTCTGCGGGCTGTACAAGCATGGCACCAACATCTGCTTCTGTGAGGACTTCTAGCTGCTTCCACTCATAGTAGTGTGTGCAGAGACATCATGGAAAGAGAGGAGGCAAAGAGAGGGCAGGAGAGGCCAGGCTCTTTAAAACAACCAGCTCTTATGGGAACTACGAGTGAGAACTCACTCATTACCGCAAAGACAGCACCGAGCTATTCGGAAGGGATCCCCCACCTGACCCAAACACCTCTTCTCAGGCCCAGCGTCGGCACTGGGCTCAGATTTCAGCATGAGGTTTGGAGGAGTCAAACAAACCAAACTAGAGCAGCCAGAGTCACCATGGGTAGGCAGAAAGTGGTGTATCTGGGATCTAATCTGAAGTCCCGGCCAATAATTCTCACCCAGGTCAACACACCAGAACGTCTTTGGGATAGCTTGCTAGCTTGCCCCTCCTCATCCTATAGGCACTGCCTCGAGATGGTGCAACTTCCTCCCTGCAGTTGAGAATCATGACTGTAAATGACACATTACTGGCATTGTCCATGCGAAGAGTGAAGAGGCAGAAAATGAATCACTGACCTTTACAGCACTGCAACTGATGCCTCACAGTGGGTGACGGTCTGACCAAGCATTCACCTTCCTGCTGGCAGCCAAGGAAGAGTTGAACAGAAAACCCATACAATCAAGAAAACCCACTAAAGAGCTGTATATGCCACAACTAATGACTTCCCTATGGGGTGCTATACGGGCTGAAGATCACTTCCATAACAGACGCCTTCCTAGGAAGAAGCCTCTATTATCACATTGGAGAGGAACAAAGTCTCAGATAAATCCCATACTGCAGTTGTTTAAATAACCTCATTCTTCCTTAAAAAAAAAAAAAAAAAAAAAAAACCAAAAGCGTCACTTCCTGGCAACTGCTGTGCACTCTTCTTTAATATCAAAGATACGTAACACACATACACACACACTCATGCTCACCAGTGCCTTACAAACATAGACGCCCCGAGCACAGAGCCCTTCAACCAATGCTCCAGCGACAGCAGCTGACTTAAATCAACACTGATGTGCGAAAACAGCCCAGTGCTGCTTCTGCAGGTTCGAGCAACACTTACCAGTTAAAGTCGTTTTTACTCCTTTGTCTCAAAAAGACACCACAAAAGAAGCAGAGGCTAGGCATGGGCTTTGGAGGCAGGTGGACTGGAATGCCAACCCCAGCTCCATCATGCACTTTCTGTGGGAATCTAGGAAAGTTATTTCTCTTCTCTAGGCCTCAATTTCCTTACCTGCAAATGGAGATACAGACGTTTACCTCAGAAAGGTATGTGAACATACCACCCTCACCCTTGATTCCTAACAGAGAATATGAGCAATGGGCAAGACTGAAACATTGTTTGGAATCTAGTTCTATTTATCCTATGTGTCTATACATCTATATTACTTTAAAAAAGGTCTGACTTAAATAATGAATGTGAGCACAGTTCTGGCAGAGACATCGAGGATGAGAAAACAATGAACAGAATGAGAAGAGTGAATGAAAAGAGACTGACGGAAGTCATTCATTTTTTTCATGTGCTCAGTACTATCCCATTGAATAAAACACACATACACACAGCTGGATGGGGTTGGGGACACCCTGTCCTGTTGTCCTTGTGTCCCTGTTGCCTGCCTGTGCTGTCTGAGAAAATCAAGGTTGGTTTAGTTAGGGCATGTGAACCTCAGGGAACGTTATACCCAAACCCTAGGTTGAAAACCATTCAGTCTAAAGATAAAACATGAAGGGACCCAGCCTCAAGGCCCCTTTCTCAAGTAGGAGCAAGTATATAGAAAGTAGAAGAAAAAAATAGGCTCACGTGTTCCAGGAAAACATATAAGAACTATTAGGAAAAAGGAATTCATAAAGGTTTTGTGATTCATTTAACCTTATTAGTCAATGTGTATGATTTTAATGTTGTCACTAGAATCACACTGTTCATTAAGAGTATTTTCCCCAGTTTGTTTAAAGCTGAAAATACCTTATGTTCATTTTGACATGTATAAAGCAAGATCCTCAAAAGCAGGGATGGAGTTCTACTCACTTCTGCCTCCCTTGACACTGCAGTGGGTGGAACAGAGACAACAAATACAGGTTCAATTTGTGCCATCTGAAAGAGAGCCATCTAGAGGCACCTGCTTCAAACTGCACTTCAACTGGTCCTACATGCCCTGCTAAGCAACTCAAACTCATCACAAAATAAATCTGCAGAAGAAATGTGTACTCTTTATTCAAACTCTGGAGTAAATAAAATGTGTCAGATTGACACAATCACAAAATGGCATTTAAATGGAGGTCTGTCTCTAATGAAATAAAAGCCAGAGCAAACAGATTTGGGGTCATATTTTTGTTCACTGTAAGTACCAATCAGTCTCATCAAACAAGTTTTAGAGGAAGAGAATTTGAGTAATTCATCTTGTCAGTTACAATTCTCCCTCTCTCTCTCTCTCTCTCACACACACACACACACACACACACACACAAAATGGCTCAACATCAGTTCAACATAATTATTCAAATACAAAAGTATAAAAAACTCTTAGAAAAACCAATAGCAGCCAAAACACAGGACATTTGTAAACAAAACCACTATTGATCCCGTGCCTAATCACAGAATCTGCATTCTTGTGAAATATTAAGCATATACAACAAAGAGAATATTGACCATCTTTTTCCTTAATATACAATATCTGGTATCTAAAACAATGTCACCAATAATAGACACAAATTGGGGTAATCATAAGGCATGTTGAGCAGTCTTTTTCACAATACTCAGAGGCATCATGTTGCTGCAGAGGGCACACTTTCCAGAAGTTTTCTCCTAGCTGTGATCCTCGCACAGCGGGGGCACTCGGAGGACCGGAAGCACTGTTTGTGAAAGCAAGCCCTGCACACTGCAAGCAAGGAAGACAGCCGTCAGCAAACAGGCTATCTTGTTTACTCACATTTCTGCAGACACTCATCTACATCCTAAGGAGGGAGGGGATCTGAATCCAGAACCCAGAATCTTCTAAAAAGAAATCAGCCGGCTGAAACTCACAAGGATTACTACTCTCCCAACAGGTCATGAGCAGAAGGCTCAGAGAGCCTGATGTAACGGATGCTGCAAACCTCCTGGATCTGCCCAAGCACCGGGGCAGGCGCTTCCCCAGCTGCCAAGAGAGCTGGTGGCTGCTAACTCTTGAGAAGTCATATTGTTTCTATAGAAATGGCCCTACATTGAGAGAGCTGCCTCATCGAAGCTCATACCCCCTTCCTGGCACCAGCCTGCATCCAGTGACTGGTCACTATGTAGTGAGTAGGCTAGCCCCAATTTGTCCCCAGTTCGGAACAATGCTGAAAGGCCACCAAACTCCAGAGCTCCCCATGAAATGAGCTGAGGGCTCCATTACAACCACTGTACAATTCAACTTCTCCCTCTCCCAGTCCTGCTGCCTGCACACCCCACGTGTATTGAGTTGAGGAACATGAAACAATTTGCATGCAAATCTCTGCCTCAGAGTCTCTTTGCTGGGGAGGCTGTCCTGCAACACTGCCTAAAGGGTTAGCAGAGAAAATACTGGAGTGGCCTGAGAGGAGGACATCCTCCTATCAAGGGCAAAGTTTGAGTTTGTTACCAGGATCTCTCCCATGAAACAGAGTTTACAGAACACAGGATTCTCCCAGGCACTAATACCGTAGAAGAAGGGTTCGCAACCTTTTCTGTAAAGAGCCAGATAGCAAATGTTTTAGGCCTTGTGGGCCGTGTGTTCTGCCATAGCTACTCAACTCTGCCTCTGTGACACAAAAGCAGCCAGGGACTTCACCACTGGGCATGACTGATCCAGTTACAAGACAGAGAGGTGGGCATACGCAACAAAGGGACCATCTCCACTATCCAAACCCTGTACCAGGAGACATCATCCTTTATCCCTGCCCTATACAAATACTCCTCATTCTGGGCCCAAAACTTCATTATCTCCAATCCAACATACAAGCACACACCAGCACGACTGTACTTTAAGTAACGGTGCTTAAATTATTTAGCTTAACTTAATTTTGTGCTTAAATTTTATTTTTTCTTTTTCTTTTCTTTCTTTTTTTTTTTTTTTTTAGACAGAGTCTTGCTCTGTCACCAAGCTAGAGTGAAGTGGCGCAATCTTGGATCTTGGCTCACTGCAACCTCCACCTCTGGGGTTCAAGTGATTCTCCTGCCTCAGCCTCCCAAGTAGCTGGGACTACAGGTGCCCACCACCATGCCCACCTAATTTTTGTATTTTCAGTAGAGACAGGATTTCACTATGTTGGCCAAGATGGTCTTGATCTCCCAACTTTGTGATCCACCCACCTTGGTCTCCTAAAGTGCTGAGATTACAGATGTGAGCCATGGCACCTGGCCTGTGCTTAAGTTACTAAACTTAGTTTAGATAATTAATTAATCTATTATTAAGCTTCTGTTATTAGGTTATTAAGATACCTGAACATCTTCTACATGTTTCCGTCTGAAATGGGAAGATGACAGTCGTATTACGGCAAAATTCACAAATAAAGCCCTTTCCTTGACACAGCTGTAAAAGAAGACATCAAAAAGTCACAACTTTCTCCTGATTCTTCGTTATTACAGAACTTTATAAACATCAGTTTTTGAATGTCTATGATTCCAGTCTCTAGAAAGAAAAGGATTTTGTTGTTTTGCAGCAATGAATGAATCAGAACCAAGAAAAAGAAAAAAATGTACATTTCATCCAATTCCACATCAAAGCAGTTTTAAAGTACCAGAGAAAGGTCACAATTGCAAACATGCACTCTGAAATGATCTAATTTCATTTCTCATTGCTGCACTACAATTTTCAATCCATGTAGACACAGAGCTTCCTGTTCCATTGACTCCTGGTTCCACATGGCTATATTTGGCACTCCAGGGCAGCATGGGCCCTGAGCAGAACTGGGCACCCAGATGAAAAGTCCCTTGGTCCAGGCTTGCATCCCAGTGCTGCCACTTACCAGCAGGAGCATCTCAGCTGTTACTTCACAGCTTTGACCTCAGTTTTCTCATCTCTAACTAGGTCATGGGCACTTCCCTCAGGGCTTGTGAGAGTTAAATGAAAGTCAAGTGCAGAACACCCAGCCCAGGCCCTGGTGCATCGGGAAGGCATCTGCTCCGGGCACACCCTCACCTCACAGCCGGCCACATGTGCAAGGGAAGCTTTCAGAATGTCCTTGAGCAAGGGTGCCAGAAGCCCTTTCTTGATCCTGACCAGGTCCTCCAGAGAGAACAGGTGGAGCTCATCAGCCAAGTGTCCCGGCACCTGTTCAAACTCCTTTAATGCACTGCCAGAGAGGAAACAAAGAGGGATTCAGAAACCCACCCACGCAGAGTCTGGGGAAGAATGGAGCCAATTATTTTCTCTTGGCACTCACGCTTCATTTTTTTAACTCAATTTAACAAATAAATAGTCCCAAGAACAACCGGGAACAATGCTCGCCACCATTCTACATTTTGCAAGTTTGCTTGGAAGCCAGGAAGTTGAAATTCCATGAAAGCTGATTTCAAAAAGCTGAATGAGCGGAGACGTGCACCTCTTATAGCCTGCCCATGCAAACACTGAGCAAAAGAAAACTGAGCATTAGTTTTTTAAGTCTTAAAGAATGTGTACCTAGTACCTTTCGATTACCAAGTAACCAAAATTCCTACCTTATTTCCTCCAGCTACACTTCAAGTCTAACAGCCACATGGACTGTTGGCTCAGCTGGAAGAACTCTCACTCCTGGGGCAAGACTATGACTTCCAAATGCACGAGTCAGGCACTGAGCTTAAGGCTCATGCAGCCAGCTTCCAGTGGTCATGGTCCTCAGTGTATTCAAAACTTAATCATCTCCAAACCAAGCAAGTGTCCACCTGAATTCTCTAAATGGCTAGGAGAAGCACTATTCCCTGCACTTCCAAGACAGTCACCGTCTACGCTGAACTCGGTATGCTACTAATGCCAAATTCTCTCCAATCCTCCACCCAGCCTGAGGTGCCCACTTCTGAGGTATCCTCTGACTGGAGAATCCCCAATCCCTCTTCTTTGCTCCACCCTTACTCTTGAAGCTCAGTCTTTTTCTCCTGGAATCCTTGCTTTCTCTCTACTCCCCCTCACTCCTAAGTGACATAAATGCTGCCTTCCTTTGTATCCTCATGGCGCCCTGACGTGTGTCTAACACGCATTCCAGCAACGATCGGTTTGTGCTGACCATCCCCCTGGACTTAACACAGATCTACCAATTTTTTTATCTGAAGCACAGAATGAATAGTCAAGAATTTGTGTACAAGGTAGGAAGTGTAGGTACTGTTACATGTTACGGATGAAAGAACTGAGTCCCCGAGACCAAGGCCATGCCAAGGCCATGAAGCGAAGGTGCGAAGCCAGGTGACTACAGAATACAGCCTCCTTTCCCCAAAATTTCATTAAAAAGCAATACCTCATCATTAAAGATTAGAGACTGAAAAAATGCTTTAAAGCCAAACCATTTATTTAAAAACTCTATGATTCCATCAGCTACAATAATCTTAACTCCCTTGAGTAACCTATGCTTTTCCACTTAAAAATCTCTCTCTCAATGAATCAATGCCTCAGTCTTTACTGGTTGTGTAGTATTCCGTTCTATGGACATGGTATGAATGTAACTACTGCCCTATTGTGAACAGCTAGATTTTTAAAATAATTTCAACTTTTATTTTAGATTTGGGGGTCTGTGCACAGGTTTGTTATATAGGTATATTGCACAACACTAAAGTATGATCCCATCACCCAGGGAGTGAGCATAATACCTCTTAATAGACTTTTAATACTGTTTCTTATTTAAAAACAAAACTAGCAATCCTCGCACTCTGGGAGGCCGAAGCGGGCAGATCACCTGAGGTCGGGAGTTCTAGACCAGCCTGGCCAACATGGTGAAACACTGTCTCTACTAAAAATACAAAAATTAGCCAGGTATGATGGTGTATGCCTGTAATCCCAGCTACTTGGGAGGCTGAGGCAGGAGAATTGCTTGAACCTAGGAGGCAGAGGTTGCAGGACGCCAAGATTCTGCCACTGCACTCCAGACTGAGCAACAGAGCAAGACTCTGTCTAAAAAAAAACAAAAAACAAACAAACCAAAAAACCCACTATACTTTAACTTAATCTCTGCCTATATCCATTGGTATGTCCCTAGGATATATTTTTAAAGTAGAACTTATGAAGACCATGGTCCCACTTGGTTAGACATGCCTCCCTATAAGGGGTTTTAAAAGGCCCCTGGTGGCCGGGCACGGTGGCTCATGTCCCAGCACTTTGGGAGGCTGAGGCAGGCGGATCACAAGGTCAGGAGATCGAGACCAGCCTGATCAATGTGGTGAAATCCCGTCTCCCGAGGGGAGAGGTGGCAGCGAGCCAAACTTACTCCATTGCACTCCAGCCTGGGCGACAGAGTGAGACTCTGTTTAAAAAAACAAACTAACAGGCCCCTGGTATACGCATGTTCATATCCACCTTATTCACAATAGCTGAGGAGGGACATAACCCTAGTGTCATGGATGAATAGATGGATAAACAAAATGCAGTATATACATACGAAGGAAATTCTGACACACGCTACAACATGAACGAACCTTGAGGATGTTATGCTAAGTCAAACAAGCCAGTCACAAAAAGACAAATACTGTAAGATTCCATTTATATAAGGCAATTGAGTAGGCAAAATCATAGAGACACAAAGTAGAATAGGGACTGCCACGAGTTAGGCTAAGAGGAGGAGGGAATGGGGAGTTAAATGATTAGTTTTGCAAGATGAAAAGAGTTTGGGGGCTGGATGGTAGTGATGGTTTCACAATGATGTTAATACTTTCATGCTACCAAAGTGTACATTAGAAATGGTTAGGATAGTAAATTTTAAATGTATTTACCACATTTTAATGATAACAATAATAATAATAAAAAGGCCACTGGCTAGAGTTGTTTCATCCTCCAACTAAACCATTCTTCTTAATGAGTTAAATTCTCCATTACGTGGTTAGGCTGTGTCCCTACCCAAATCTCATCTTGAATTGTAGCTCCCATAATTTCCATGTGGCATGGAAGGAGCCCGGTGAGAGGTAATTGAATCATGAGGCAGGTCTTTCCTGTGCTGTTCTGGTGGTAAAGAATAAGTCTCACAAGAGCTGATGGGTTTTTATTATTATTATTATTATTATTATTATTGAGATGGAGTCTCACTCTGTCACCAGGTTGGAGTGCAGTGGCACGATCTTAGCTCACTGTAACCTCCGCCTCCTGGGTTCAAGTGATTCTCCTGCCTCAGCCTCCTGAGTAGCTGGGACTACAGGCACACGCCACCATGTCCAGCTAATTTTTGTATTTTTAGTAGAGATGGGGGTCTCGCCATGTTGGCCAGGAAGGTCTTGATCTCTTGACCTTGTGATCCACCTGCCTTGGCCTCCCAAAGTGCTGGGATTACAGGCGTGAGCCACTGCGCCCAGCCAATCTGATGGTTTTATAATGGAAAGTTCCCCTGCAAATACTCTCTCTTTGCCTGCCACCATGTAAGATGTGCTTTTGCTACTCATTCACCTTCCACCATGATTGTGAGGCTGCCCCAGCTACGTGAAACTGCGAATCAATTAAACCTCTTTCCTTTATAAACTACCCAGTATGTCTTTATTAGCTACTTGAGAAGAGACTATTGGTTTAGTAATTCAGAGATAGTGTGCTTTCCCAAGGAAAGCCAAGAGGTCATCACTGTGCTAAGATGCTTTGTGTAATGGGGGAGCCAGGTGCAGGAGGCACTAATAGGATTAGCAGATGTATGGAGGGAAGGCAGCCTGTTCCACCTGCGAATAGTACCTGTCAGCAAACCTGCAGGTCTTCAACAGCTTCTTGATATGGAAGAGCTGCTCCTGAATTTCCTAATGGGAGAAACCAAACATGGGGGAAGGTTAACTGTAATAAATGACACAGGAAAAGTGCAAGTCTTGTTTTTAACCTTGAAATGCTGCATTTGTATAAAACAAACCTTGAAACCAAACTGCCTATACAGCAAGCCTTCACAACTGAGTCCATTGATCCACAAAGTGTGTTTTGGATGGATCCAGGTTTCGTGGAACCTAAAACTTACAGAACTTTGGGACCTTTTTCAAGAAAAACATAATACTGGCCGGCGTGGTGGCTCACACCTATAATCCCAGCACTTTGGGAGGCCGAGGCAGGTGGATTACCTGAGGTCAGAAGTTTGAGATTAGCCTGCCAACCTGATGAAACCCCATCGCTGCTAAAAACACAAAAAATTACCTGGGCATGGTGGCAAATGCCTATAATCCCAGCCACTTCGGAGACTGAGGCAGGAGAATCCACTGAACCAGTGAGGCAGAGGTTGCAGTGAGCCAAGATTGCACCACTGCGCTCCAGCCTGGGCGACAGAGTAAGACTCTGTCTCAAAAAAGAAAAAACATAATACTAAGTATAAGATTCAGTATGGGGCCTTGGAAACAGCATATGCAGGAGAGGGGCTGCTAAGCATAATCCTCACTCTATTTTTTTTTTTTTTGAGACAGGGTCTTGCTCTGTCACCCAAGCTAGAGTGTAGTGGCGTGATCTCGGCTCACTGCAACCTCCGCCTCCCAGGTTCAAGTGATTCTCCTACCTTAGCCTCCCAAGTAGCTGGGATTACAGGCATGCGCCACAACGCCTGGCTAATTTTTTTTTTTTTTAATTTCTATAGAGATGGGATTTCACCATGTTGGCCAGGCTGATCTCAAACTCCTGATCTGCCCACCTTGACCTCCCAAAGTGCTGGGATTACAGGCATGAGCCACCATGCCCAGCCGCTTTACTCACTTTATGATCCATTTGCCTGTTAGAGGATGTATCCATGGGTTCCCTAACCAAGGGTGAGGTGCATTTCCTGCCACAGGACACTTCAAGTGAGAGGGACAGTGTTGGGGCTGCGGCTCACCTTCACTCTGTCCAGCTCCTTGGCTTTCGTATACAGGCTTTGGCCGATGCTCAGCAAATTGAAAATGGGCTGGTGCCATATGCTGTCGAGCAGCTGTTTGGAGAAATTGCTGACGTAGTACTTCCTGAAGTCCCACATCATCAGGATCCGGGCAGGGATGCAGGATTCCGCATATGAGTGGCAGCAGTCACAGAAATACTTCCCCAGGTATTCGCAGTACCGGAGCCGCTTCACAAACTCTGCCGAGCATACCGGAGGGTGAGTGCCGCACCTGGTGCTGAAAACCTATCCTGGTCTACTACATCCTATGCAAGATTCAAAGGCTCAGATGACTCGTTTTGTGATGATAAAGCCATACTCAACCTCATGACAGCTAGGAATGCTCCGGCAGGGACTTGGGGAGTTAAATCAGGGTCATTCATGAGCTCTGTTCTTGTGGAACAGATGTCAGAAAAACAAAACCTTCCCAAGATACTCCTGGATTTGGAAGATGGAAACTGCAAACTGCAGCGTAGAAAAAGAAATGTTCATTTTAGGATCTGGAAATCTAGGCGGGAGTCCAGACTCCTCTCACTAGGAGGAAGACTGAAGGCAGGTTGTAAATCTCTTTAGGCCAACTCTTCTGAGACCATGAAATGCAACTCAGAACTGGAGTGAGTGCTATTACACATAGGAAAAGTGATTTGTAAATTATGAAGCAGTATACATACAGTGTTAGGAAGTCGTGTCATAAAGACCTTCTTGATAAATCAGTGAGAAAAGGATGTAAACAGGTAATTCACAGAAAGAAGAAATGCAAATAATCAACAGAGAAACAATCTCAGAAACAAAGAAATGCATATTTTAAAAGTGAGGCCAAGCACAGTGCCTTGTATTGGTAATCCCAGTACTTCGGGAGGCCAAGGCAGGAGGATCATTTAAGTCCAGGAGTTCAAGACCAGCCTGAGCAACATAATGTGACTCCATCTCCAAAAAAAAAAAAAAAAAAAAAATTAGCTAGGCATGGTAGTGTGTACCTGTAGTCCTAGCTATTGGGAGGCTAAGGTAGGAGGATTGTTTAAAGGTGGAGCCTACAGTTAGCCACCATCATGCCACTGCATTCCAGCCTGGGCAACAGAGTAAGACCCTGTCATAAATTGATGACAAATAATAAAATGAAATTGAAATGAAATGAAATAAAAGCAAGATACTCTATTTTGCCTCAAACTGTCATAAATTTAGAAGACCCAGAACTGGTGCGGTATCTAGAGGAGGGCACTTAGCTCTACCACTGATAGAACTAATTTATAGGAAGACATTTCTGTGATATACTTCAATGCTTACATGTGCAACAGGAATTCTGTTCCTGTGACTCCATCAGACAGAAATGCTAACAGCCACACATAGTGATATAAAAAGGTGTTCAGTACAGCACATTTATAATTATAAAGGGGGGGGTAGCCAAAATGTCAATCAAAAGACAACTGGTTAAATAAGTATGGTGCACTCAACACGAAATGCTGTACAGCCCATAAAGTACAGGGAAGAGCATGGAAAGTGGACATCCAGTTATAAGCAGGTATAATGTGATCTCAATTTTTTTTTTCTTGAGATGGAGTCTCACCTTGTCACCCAGACTGGAGTGCATTGGTGTTAACTTGGCTCACTGCAACCTCCACCTCTCAGGTTCAAGTGATTCTCCTGCCTCAGCCTTCCTCAAGTAGCTGGGATTACAGGCACTCACCACTACACCCAGCTAATTTTTTGTATTTTTAGTAAAGACAGGGTTTCACCATGTTGGCCAGGCTGGTCTTGAACCCCTGACCTCATGATCCTTTCACCTCAGCCTCCCAAAATGCTGGGATTACAGGCATAAGCCACCGCTCCTGGCCTGTGATCTCAATTTTATTTAAAAACATACATATAAACATACACATAAACATATGCACTGTCTAGACCTCCACCAAAAAGCCAACAGTGACTATTTCTGGAGGGTAGGGGAAAGAAGGAATGTTTGCTCTTTGCACTTTTTAACCTATTAAAATAAACATTCATTGATTGTTTCTAGAAATGTCTCTAATAAAATATATTAACAAACAAAAGGTATAGAAACTAATGCGACAAATACCTGTGCACTCACTGCCCGACTTCAGAAAGAAAACAATTCAGTTGAAGTCTCCTATGTGGCCCTCCCTCAACACTAGGTTCTGAAATGAACCAAGTCTAGAATTTATCATTCATAGTTTGAGTCACGTATGCCTTTGTAATTGACATATCATACAGCATAACACAAATCTGAGTTGCCATATATTGTGAGGATTACTGAAAATCATGGATGGGAAAGCAGCTGCCATAGAACCTGCACCCTGTAGATTCTGAAGCTCATTTCCAAATAATGGCTTTAAAAATAAACAAGGCCTGAATGGCACAGAAACGAATCTGACTGAATACTTACTCTGTGCCACAGATCGGTTAAATGTTTCATGTTTATTACGTCTCTCTGTGCCCAAAAGTCTATGAGGAAGGGACAGTTATTTCCCCTGTTTGATTGATGAAAGCACAAGACATTGAAGTTAGGCAACACACGGGGACACACGGAAAGTACATAAGCAGGCAGGATTCCAACCCAAGCCTGGACTGCCAAAGCTCCAGCCCGCAGCCATCGTGACCCAGTCTTCCTCTGCTGCACTCGATGGCGAGGAAGGGAGAGGTGGCAAATGCTTTTGCATTTGCCTAAATTATCCCTCAGAACCCAGCTCACACTCAGAGCTGATGTTTAAAAACAAACAAATAGAGTTGTTTTTCATTATTCCTTATAGTTATGTTCTACAGAGTAGCCATGAACACTGAATTAGTCAATACTGAACCACTGCTCCTGAGGGAACTTTAGAGTTAGGTACCTGTGAGCTTCTGATAACAACATTTTCCTCTACTCCTCAACACGTACTCAATATCCATTCACTCGCTGATCAAACTTTATTGAATACATACTGTTATGCTATTAATACAGAATAAACTCATGTCCATCTTTTTTAGTTTCCTAAGTCCCTTAACTAAAACGGAACAATACAAAGTGACCTAAACCAGTGGTTCTTGGCCAAGGGTGATTTTGCCTCCCAAGGGACATTTGCAAATGTCTGGAGCCATTTTCAGTTGCCACTTGGAGCTGCCTTTGGCATCTAGTGATGTGGCTAAACATCCTATAGGGCACGGGACACCCGCCATGGCAAAGTCAATATTGAAGTTGAGAAATCCTGCTCTGAACCACAGTTGTTCTCATTTTATGAAAAGTCAGTGTCAGGAATGGGGTGGAAGAGAAACATTCTAGAACAGAGATGTCCAGTATAACTTTCCATGAGGATGAAAATGTTCTGTATCTGTGCTGTCCGATACAGTAGCCAAGAGTTACATGTGGCTACTAAGTACTTGAAATGTAGTTAGTGTGACTGAGGAACTCTAGATTCTTAATTTCAATTAATTTAATTTAATTTTAAGTAGCCACATGGGCTGGTGGCTACCACACTGGATAGTGCAGTTCTAGAATAAAGCTCACTAAAGAGAAACAATAACTAAATGACATGTGTGACACTTGATTGCAACCTAGATGGAAAAAATAGCCATAAACAAAACCTTAAGAACAACAAGGACTAGGAAGCAGACAATATAGAGAATTTCTTCTAATTGTTTTGGTGTTTATTATTCTTATTTTTGGGAAATGCTGAACTAGTAAAGGCGAAAACGTTATGTTCAGTGAGTGGAAATTGAAGGCAACTAATGAAAACCTGACAACTAAATTCAACATGGAATTCAGAGGTGGATTCTGAAACAGATAAAGGATGTTATTGAGAACCCGATGAAATCTGAATAAAGCCTAGGGTTTCATTAATAGGACTGTGCCAGTGTTAATTTCTCAGATTTAATAATTATACTATGATTATGTAAGATGTTAGCTGTAGAGGAAGCTGGGTGAAGGGTATACAGGAATTCTCTCTACTATTTTTGCAGCTGTTCTGTAAATCTAAAAATTATCTCAAAGTCGAAAGATAAAAGAAAAAAAAATTATCTTAAAAGCTAGAGGAAGTTAACAGGAAAAGCCCAAAATGACTTCTATGCTGCCTATAATCTGTGCTCCACCTACCTCTGAGGCATGTTTTTTCCTCCTATTCTTACTCTCTGGTCTTACAGGGTGCCTTTTACTTGCTACAGGTCCTTTGCACATGACGAGCACCTCTACTTCTGTAGGCAATCACTTTATTCTCAGCTTTCAAGCTCAAAGCTCTCTCCCTGTAAATCCCATCGCACTCTTGACTCTTTCGTTGTGTACATCACTTTTTGTTACACACATTTACTCGGCTGATGACTGTGTCTGCCTTAAAAGATAAGCTCCCTGAGGGCAGGGCCACTGTACAAAAGTGAAGACACACATCTCCATACCTAAACAAGCTTAGAGAAATAACTAAAAAGTTGGTGAATTGATAGTCACATCATATAGGTTCTGACTCAGGCATTCAATATTTATGGAAGCAGCAGGATATGGTGGTTAACCAAAGAGACACGTTCCCCACCAGGCATGCTGGGAAAATGAGTCACTCAAAGAAAAGCATCAACAACGGTGATGTCCATCAGATATTATCATCCAGTGTAGGAGAGGAAGCCCAGATTGATTCCTGCTTGCTATTTTTATCTCTTGAAGAAGGAGTTCCTCATAGTCTTTTTCCTTCAAAAACTATCAAAGGCCAAGGGAACTCTTTCCACAAAGCTCCTCTTTCCAGCCTTTTGCAGATCAGACCTACAGATACCATCAGAGCAGAACAAGTGGTTCTCAGTCTCAAGGGGGAAACTTGCATTTCTGACTGAAGAAAGCCTGACCTTTTTTTTTTTTTTTTTTTTTTTTGGAGACAGCGTCTCACTTTGCTGCCTAGGCTTGAGTGTAATAGCATGATCTTGGCTCACTGCAACCTCCGCCTCCTGGGTTCAAGGAATTCTCCTGTCTCAGCCGCCCGAGTAGCTGGGATTTCAGGTGCCTTCCATGCTGCCTGGCTCATTTTTTGTATTTTTAGTAGAGATGGGGTTTCAACATATTGGCCAGACTGGTCTCAAACTGCTGACCTCAGGTGATCTGCCCGCCTCAGCCTCCCAAAGTGCTGGGATTACAGGCAGAAACCACCATGCCTGGCCCAGGAAAACCTGATCTTCTAGGCCTCAGTTGGCCCAGGAATGATCCTCTCAGGTCACCGCCTCAAACTCTCTCACAGAAGGTTGGCTATTTCCTTTCTAAGCCAGTCCTTTACTCAGCAAGTATCTTTCAAGGACCAGCTACATGCCAGGCATCTTCTAGAAGCTGGGAATAAGGTAATAAATAGAGCAGACAATACATCTGCCCTCACAGAACTTATCATCTAGTGTTGAACACATATTAGTAAAATATAAGAGTATTTTAGAAAAACGTGCTAAGAATAAAAAATAAGAATGAACTAAGAAAATATTATGCAAGAAAATAAAAAACATAAGGATGGGTAATTATAAAGTGTACATGGGATTGTTTGTGGCCAGCAGTGTGGCAAGGCAGGCACTTTTGATAGGGCAGCAAGGGAAGACCTCGTGACTTTGGAGTGAAAATGTGAAAGAAGCAAAGGAATTAGCTACAGAGGTGTCTTCAGGGAGGGCATTTGGGGGACAGAAAACCATAAATGCAAATGCCTGTGTCAGAATTCAGTCTGGCATTTTCAAGGGCCAGCAAAAGGCCACGTGGCTAGAGCTGATGCCCAACAGGGATAAAACTAGGAGGCTGGTCCTGGTCTCCTCACTCCTGATTGGTCACACATCCTTATCAGTCATGATGGCCTACTCATGAAAAAGAGGGCAGCTTCTGTAAAGCTCTTTTTATTTTTTCATTCTTAGGATGGAGTCTCACTCTGTTGCCCAGGCTGGAGTGCAGTGGCACAATCTCAGGTCACTGCAACCTCTGCCTCCCAGGTTCAAGCGATTCTCCTGCCTCAGCCTCCTGAGTAGCTGGGATTACAGGCGCATGCCACCACACCTGGCTAATTTTCGTATATTTAATAGAGACGAGGTTTCACCACATTGGTCAGGCTGGTTTTCAACTCCTGACCTTGTGATCTGCCTGCCTGCCTCGGCCTCCCAAAGTACTGGGACCACAGGGATGAGCCACCACGCCCTGCCTGTGACGCTCTTATAACAACTTCTCATTAAAGGCACAAAAGTAATGCACTGCCTTACTTCACTATTCTGGATCTTGTCATCGCATAATAAGCAGGTGATCCATTATCCATACTTACTAGGCTCTATTGGAGTTCCACAGCCGGCACAGAAAAAATTCTGGGCTGCCACCACAAGGTCCCTCCTGAATACAAAAAAATGAAACTAGTCACGTTTCAGAGAAGGCTGATGGAACATTTTTCACTAATTGGGAAATAAACTTCCATTGTGATACCTTTCTCAACTAAGGGCCTTAATTTTGTCACTTTTCATTTGGGAAAGAAAGAGATTTATTCAATACAATTTTCTAGTTGAAATCTCTGGGCCTTTTAAAGCTACAACTAACTTTTTTTTTTTTTTTTTACTGAGATAGGGTCTCGCTCTGTCACACAGGCTGCAGTGCACTGTCATGATCATAGCTCACTACTGCCTCCAACTCCTTGGCTCGGCTCAAGCAATCCTCAGCCTCCTACGTAGGTAGCTAGGACTACATGTACATGTCACCACACCCAGCTAGCTTTTCAGGCTTTTTTTTCTTGCTCTGTTGCCCAGGTTGGAGTGCAGTGGTGCAATTTCAGCTCACCACCACCTCTGCCTCCCAGGTTCAAGTGATTCTCCTACCTCAGCCTCCCAAGTAGCTGGGACTACAGGCATAAGCCACCATGGCTGGCTAATTTCTTTTTGGGTTTTTTTTTTTTTTTTTTTTTTTTGTATTTTTAGTAGAGATGGGGTTTCCCTATGTTGGCAAGGCTGGTTTTCAACTCCTGACCTTGTGATCCGCCCACCTCAGCCTCCCAAAGGGCTGGGATTACAGATGTGAGCCACTGCACCTGGCTATTTTTTTTTTTTTTTTTTTTTAGAGACAGGGTCTGTCTGTGTTGCCCACGCTGGTCTCAAACTCCTGGCCTCAAGTCATCCTTGTAGTTCGGCCTCCCAAAGTGCTGGAATTACAGGCATGAGTCACTGTGTTCAGCCTTAAAGTTAGAACTCTTTAAAAGCTTCTGCTAAAACCAAAACAGAAGTCAGTGTCACTAATAACTCCAAGGGGTTTTTAGGGATGTCTTGATGCCCATGCACAGGGTTCCAGCTCCAGAGCGAACTAGAGACATGTTATACAAGGAAGACAGTTCAGGGAGGCTGTACATCAAAAGGTGATGCACTTGGGAAATTCACAAATGGATCTAACGAAATTTAGATGAATAAGAGGTTCTGTAAGACAAATAAATCAAATCAAACATTGCTGGTAAGAGATATTCCATTCTATTGAGGAATTTTCTTTCTTTCTTTCTTTTTTTTTTTTTGAGATGGAGTCTCACTCTGTTGCCCAGGCTGGAGTGCAGTAGTGCAATCTCAGCTTACTGCAACCTTTACCTCCCGGGTTCTAGCGGTTCTGCCTCAGCCTCCTGATTAGCTGGGATCACAGGCATGCACCAACATGCCCGGCTAACTTTTTTATTTGTAGTAAAGATGGGGTTCTGCCATGTTAGCCAGGCTGGTCTTGAACTCCTGACTCAGGTATTCACCACACTGACCTCCCAAAGTGTTGGAATTGCAGGCATCAGCCACTGTGCCCAGGCTGAGGGATTTTCTATTGAACTGTTTATGCCATAGTTTTACATGTGACTTGGAAATACCAAGAAAGTTATAAAATTTGACTACAATTCAGGATTGGCAAAGATGGTCAAGACCTAGGAAAACCCTAAAGAAAAGACACCCTAGGCTAAGAAAAGTGACCCCTCACAATGCCTAGAGAGGGAGTTCTGCCCCAGCAGCCCCAGAGACTTTCTTGGCAGTCTCTCAAAAGAAGAAAAACAAAAAAAAGATAATAGTCTATAAGGCAGGCGTCCCCAGACTACGGCCTGAGGGCCGGATGTGGCCCCCTGAGGCCATTTATCCGGCCCCCTGCCACACTTAAGGAAGGGGCACCTCTTTCATTGGTGGTCAGTGAGAGGAGCAGAGTATGTGGCGGCCCTCCAACAGTCTGAGGGACAGTGAACTGGCCCCCTGTGTAAAAAGTTGGGGGATGCCTGCTATAAAGCATCTCCATGGGCAGAGTCACCCTCTCTCCCTCCCTTGGGCACAGTCAACAACCCTCACCAGTCCCTTTGTAAGGCTCAGCGGTTTGCACGCCAAACTGAATACAAACCAAGAGGGATGGAAAAACTATACTTGGTTAAAATGTTTTGTGTGTAATCTCTGCCTATAATCTGTCCTATACTCTCAGAACAAATTACAGTTAAACTGTTACTTTAAATATATAGGTTTATTTCCTTTCTTGTATAATCTTAGTTGTTTTGTCTTTTAGAACTTTTGTTACTTCTTAGAGAACAAACATTTTTATTTACATTGTTAAATTTCTTTTGTTTGTTTTGAGATCGCGTCTCACTCTGTCACCCAGGCTGGAGGGCAGGGGTGCAATCTCAGCTCACTGCAACCTCCGCCTCCTGGGTTAAAGCGATTCTTGCTCCTCAGCCTCCCTAGTAGCTGGGACTATATAGGCCTGCACCACCACATCAGGCTAATTTTTTTTTTTTTTTTTTTTTTTTTTTTTGAGACGGAGTTTCGCTCTTGTTATCCAGGCTGGAGTGCAATGGCACGATCTCGGCTCACCACAACCTCCGCCTCCTGGGTTCAGGCAATTCTCCTGCCTCAGCCTCCTGAGTAGCTGGGATTACAGGCATGCGCCACCATGCCCAGCTAATTTTTTGTATTTTTAGTAGAGACGGGGTTTCACCATGTTGACCACGTTGGTCTTGATCTCTTGACCTCATGATCCACCCGCCTCGGCCTCCCAAAGTGCTGGGATTACAGGCTTGAGCCACCGCGCCTGGCCTAATTTTTATATTTTTAGTAGAGAGGGGGTTCCACCATGTTGCCCAGGCTGGCCTCAAACTCTTGACCTCAGGTGATCCCCCCACCCCAGCCTAGGCCTCCCAAAGTGCTGGAATTACAGGCATGAGCCACCGTGCCTAGCCTCTGTTACATTTTTTAACTGGAAGTGCTTTCCCTAAGATTAAATTTTCCATTTTTAGAAGCTTGTTCATTCATTTTTTTTTTACACTGACTGTCCTGGAATATAAAGTGGTCCAGTCTTTCAAAATTATTGCAGGCTGGGCAAGGTGGCTTACACCTGTAATCCCAGTACTTTGGGAGGCCAAGGTGGACGGATCACTTGAGCCCAGGAGTTCGAGACCAGCCTGGGCAATATAGCAAAAGCCCATCTCTAATATTTTAAAAAAGAAAACAAATTAAAAAATAATAATAATAAGGCTGGGTGTGGTGACTCATGCCTGTAATCCCAGCACTTTGGGAAGCCAAGGCGGGTGGATCACAAGGTCAGGAGTTCCAGACCAGCCTGGCCAACATGGTGAAATCCTGTCTGTACTAAAAAAAATACAAAAATTAGCTGGGCATGGTGGCACGGGCCAATAATCCTAGCTACTCAGGAGGCTGAGGCAGGAGAATCACTTGAACCCAAAAGGCAGAGGTTATGGTGAGCCAAGATCATGCCATTGCACTCTAGCCTGGGCAACAGGGCAAGAATCCATTTCTAAATAAATAAATAAAATAAAATAAAACAATATTATTGTATATAATTTTTAAGTTTTGATATTAGCCACCTTAAAAAAGTCCCCTTTAAGCCTATTTAATATTGAGTTGCTGTGTAAAATTCACAATTAGCGATACCTAGTTAAGTTCTCAACTTGTCAAAACTTACGGAGTCCCCAAAAGTCCATGGTAAACAAGACACCAAAAAAAAAAAAAAAAAAAAAACAAAGCTAAGCCAGAATATACAGCCAACTTTCCTTCTCCTAAATCCAGTTTTCCTGTGTTCTTCAGCATATATGTTATTTTCACCTACCACCATAGAGTCAGGTGGGATCTGTCACAATGTGTTTTAAATGGATTGGAGGTCCAAGCAGCAGCCCATACTTACTTGAGTGGTGGATGAATATTAAATATGATTTGAAATCTAGGAGGAGCCCAGTCTTCAGTCCCTCTGATCCTAGACTTAAATTTAATTTCCTGTACTATATTCATACTGGATTCAAAGTCTTTTTGGACACGCTCTTCATTTACAACCTGCATAATACATAAAACGATTTAGGAACAATTTAAACAAGCATATTTCAAAGAATTTAAATTAAAAGAACATCTAAATGTATTTCCAACATTAAAATTTACCATGAAAAATTAATAGTGTTTTCAACCAAACTAAAAGACACAGCAAGAGCCCTCTAACTCTCTAAAGCCATCTGCAAGAGAATTGCTTTAACCACCACCCAGATGAGGTCACTTTTCTTAGTATTTTTAGTTTATTTATTTCCAGACTTCAAATTTACTGTAAGTAGGTCATTCTGACCTGGAGTACATTTATGAATAGCAGAAACCTCACTCCTCTTAGTCAACAGACTGACAGATGCTATCATTATCAGTCTTCCCCGAAAACAGAGCCATGAAGACCATTCCCCTTGCTTATAAATTTTCAGTGCCTCCCCTCTCAACCACTGCACTTTCCTATTGTTATTTAAAATCCAAACTTCTCAGTTGGGTGCAGTGGCTCACACCTGTAATCCTAGCACTTTGGAGGCCAAGGTGAGAGGATCCCTTGAAGTCAGGAGTTGGAGACCAGTCTGGCCAACATGGTGAAACCCCGTCTCTACTAAAAATACAAAAGTTAGCCAGAAATTGCTTGAACCCAGGAGGTGGAGATTACAGTGAGCCAAGCTCGTGCCACTGCACTCCAGCCTGGGCAACAGAGCAAGACTCTGTCTCAATAAATAAATAAAATAAAATAAAATCCAAACTTCTTAAATTAGCTTTCTACATCCTCCACAATTTGACAACTATCATTCAAACCGCATTTCCATAAAGAACAATCTCTCACACACAAATACACGTAGTGGCCAATAATCAAGATAAACTGGGATTTGAGGATGGATCAGTCCTGAAACAGTTTCTTTCTGAAACAGAGAAAACGTCCCCCGAAGACAGAGCAAAATGCTTTGAAAAGAATGAGGCCATACAGGCAGCCCATGATGCCGTGGCACAGGAAGGCCAATGTCGGGTAGATGACAAAGTGAATTTCCATTTTATTCTGTTTAACAACGTGGATGGCCACCTCTATGAACTTGATGGACGAATGCCTTTTCCGGTGAACCATGGCACCAGTTCAGAGGACACCCTGCTGCAGGATGCTGCCAAGGTCTGCAGAGAATTCACCGAGCGTGAGCAAGGAGAGGTCCGCTTCTCTGCCGTGGCTCTCTGCAAGGCAGCCTAATGCTTTGTGGGAGGGACTTTGCTGTTTTCCCCTCTTCCCTTCAACGTGAAAATATATACCTCCCCATGCAGTCTAAAATGCTTTAGTACTAGTGAAACACAGCTGTCCTCCTTCCATCCTGCAGACATGCCTTCCCCTCAGCCACACCCAAGCACGAGCAGAGTGCACAGCTGTCCACTGGGCCAGTGTGGTGTGAGCTTCAGATGGCGAAGCATTCTCCCCAGTGTATGTCTTGTACCCAATATCTAATGCTTTCAATGGCTACTTTGGTTTACGTTCGTAAGTTAAGACCTTGGATGTGGTTTAATTGTTTGTCCTCAAAAGGAATAAAACTTTTCTGCTGATCAGAAAAAAAAAAAAAAAAAAAAACCCATACCGAATCACTCTGCTCCAGAGCACAGCATGCCCCTCCACATTTGCTGCAGCTGCCCTTTGCTAAGAATGCTCTCCCCCAACCTTTCTACCTGCCATAGTTCTGGCCAGCCCAATATTTAGCTCAAGTTCTGAAATCTGCAATCGCCTTCCTAAGTTCCCCTGCTATCAAACACTCCCTCCTCTGTATGGTGAGGGCATTTTCCCTACCCCCACTTTAGCCTTTGTCACAATGCTCTCTACCCCAGCGGGCTGCCACTCTGAGGGCAGTGTGTTCCATGAGGGAACCAACATGTACTTTCCAATAAGGCAGCCTGGGCATGACTCCCGCTTCACGGCTGACCATCCTTGCTGAAGGGCTGGGCCCACCACTTAAAAATAAAAATAAGGACAGCCTCTACATAATAGGGTACTTATGAGGATTAAAATGTGGACTGCTGGCCGGGCATGGTGGTTCAGGCCTGTAATCCTAGCACTTTGAGAGGCCGAGGCAGGCAGATCACTTGAAGTCAGGAGTTGGAAAGCAGTCTGGCAGGCATGGCAAAACCCTATCTCTACTAAAAATATGAAAATGATAGCTGGGCGTGGTGGTGGGTGCCTGTAGTCCCAGCTACTTGGGAGGTTGAGGCAGAAGAATTGCTTGAAGCCGGGAGGCGAAGGTTGCAGTGAGCTGAGATTGTGCCACTACACTCCAGCCTTGGGTGACAGAGTGAGACTCTGTCTCAAAAAAAAAAAAAAAAAAAAAAGATAATCTGGAATGCTGAGCACAGTCTCTGGTACACAGTAAGCATTCAATACATGCCAGTTTCCTCATTCATTTTGAGTCTCCCCTAATATCCAGTTACCATACCATACAAGGAAACACAAATGTTTAAAGTGAACAGGGCAGGTAAAATGAAGATTTAGGAACTTTCTATTCAAGGTCAATTTCTTTTGATACTTACTATCGAGCCAGCTGCAGTCAGGGAACCTGCCAGCTGAGAATTAACTACTGACAGTATGCAGCACTTCCGGAATATGCGGTACAGCTCTTTTGCTAATAGTTCAGCAGAATTGAAGTCTGGCTCATACGTGACACTGAAAACGTAAGAGATGCAAAAACTGGAAAACTATATTCATGAGGAGTATGTTCAGGGTCTTCCTGAGGTTTTCAAGTGTTCTTCTCAGCCCCCCAAATGCAGAAGAGGTCATTATGTGAGAGGATGCATCAATTACTCACCAGGTATCTTACTCAACATAGCTCCTCCATGTTCAATAAATAAAGCATCTTTTATTTATTGCGGGCACTAAGACTTGGAGGTGCGGTGACAGAGCACTGGCTTTAGGGTCAGAAGACCTGCATTCATGCCCTGCTTACACCCACAGCCTTCGTGTCTTGAAGCACATCCTGTATGAGTGCCAATTTTTATGTCTACAAAATGAGGTTTAAAAATACATAAATATATGGTCAAGCATGGTGTCTGACACCTGAAATCCCAGCATTTTGAGAGGCCGAGGTAGGTAGATCACCTGAGGTCAGGAGTTCGAGACCAGCCTGGCCAACATGGTGACTAAAAATACAAAAATTATCCAGGTGTGGTGGCGGGCGACTGTAATCCCAGCTATTCGGAAGGCTGAGGCAGGAGAATTGCTTGAACCTGGGAGGCAGAGGTTGCAGTGAGCCGAGATTGGGCCATTGCACTTCAACCCGGGTGACAAGAGCAAAATTCTGTCTCAAAAACAAAAGTTGATACATACACACATGCATATATATGATTTGCCCAGTCTATTCGACTGAAATGAGGATTAAATGAAAATGCATATAAAAGCCTTTTATATATTGTAAAACACTATGGAAACTTTGGGGGCGATTGTTTCATTTCTAGGTGGTAATCTCCTAGATTCATGGGAACAAATCATTGGAACTAGTTGAAGTGGGCCCAGAATGTCAGAGGCCTAGTGTTCACACTGCCGCAGAGGTGACAGCCCAAGAGTGTATGTGTGCTGTGCACAGAAGACAGATACCTCTTGGAGAAGCTGCAGGAACAGCTACAGGTTTCTGTGATATCATTAAACTCTCCAAGCTCTGTGGGAAAATAAAAGAAAGAGTGGTGAGGTCTTTCAGTCCGTTTCATTTAATCACAGTCCATTTTATAAAAAGAACACAAAAATCACTCCCTGCATCTCAGAAAGAGCAAATTATTCACCATCTCCATACTTCAGGTTCTAAGAAATGAACAGAACAGATAATGAAAGTACAGGTAATAATCAAAGATGGGATTTCATCTGGAATTTCACTAAAATATAACAGAAGCCAAAGGGATATCAGACCATAATGAATATCTGCTGTTTCATTCAATTCTACTAGTGAGATGAGAGATTAGCTATCAAGACATTTGAAATAAGAACATCTTTTTATATATCCATAGCAGGGACATAATCTGATTTTGGAAGTTTCTTTGAATGCCACTGTCATGTAGTATTGTGTGTGATGCATGTCAGTATATGTATACAGATGGGACTAGGGAGGCAGCCAGTCATATTCAAATAGTTTCCAAATCTTACCTAAAATAACAAATTCATCAACATCGCATTTGCAAATCTCTTTTGCCACATCATGGTAAGTACGTGTTTCAGTCACTGGGCTGACCTGCAACACAGCACAACCTAGACAAAGAAGGGAAGGAGGTTTTTACCGACAAGAAGAAAAAGACAAACTGTACAACCTGCAACACCCCACCAAAGAGAAGCTGGGAAATGAAGAGGGCTAAAAATTTAAGTTAACTAAACATTTCAATCTAAAGAATTAAAAACTTAGGGAACTATTTTTGTGTTCTTTTTGCATTCCCTGTGATTAAGTGAAACGGACTGATAGTATATGGGGGGTTTATCATGGTTTCAGCCTACCTTTAGGTATGTTTGAAAATTTCCATGATACAAAGTTTAAAAAGATGAAAGGAGGGGAAACCATCTCAGCTTTACAGGGTGGTGAAGAGTACAGGAGACATAAACACTGTCCTGGATTAAACTACGTCCTCCCGAAACTCATGTCCACCCAGAACCTGCGGATGTGGTATTGTTTAGAAATAGAGTCTTGACAGATGGGTCATGGTGAGATGAAGCAATACTAGATTATTGTGGGCCATAAACCCAATAACAGTGTCATAAAGAGGCAAATGTGGCTACGGAGACACAGGTACACAAAGAGAATGCCATGGGAAGACAGAGACTGGAATGATGTGTCTACTAGCCCAAGGAACGCTAATGATCACCAGCAGCCACCAGAAGCTGGGAAAGAGGAATAGAGCAGATTCTCCCCGTCAGCCTCCAGAAGAAACCAACTCTTCCAACGACTTTGTTTCTAACTTTTGGACTCTACAACTGTGAAAAGATAAATTTCTGTTGTTTTAAACCACCCAGTTAGTAGGATTTCATGACAGCAGCCCTAGTAAACTAATACTAACATGTGCTCGGTTTCAATCCCTAATACCGTTTCTGGGGAGTTATCCTAAGCATATCATTAGAAAGAAAGAAGAAAGAAGATGGAAGACTTTCATCACAAAGGAGCTATTTGCAGTTCATTTAAAATATTAAAATATTGAAAGCATCTAAACGTTTAATAATAGGAAATTGATTTTGCAAATCACATGATTAAATACTATCATTTAAAAATGTAAATATTCCAGGGGCAGTGGCATGCACCTGTAGTCCCAGCTACTCAGGAGACTGAGGCAGGGGAATCACTTGAGCCCAGGAGTTCAAGGCCAGCCTGGGCAACATGGCAAAACCTCGTCTCTACAAAAAATACAAAAACATTAGCCCAGCGTGGTGTCCCATGTCTATAGTCTTAGCTGCTTAAGAGACTGAGATGGGAGGATCACTTGAGCCTGGGAGGTGGAGGTTACAGTAAGCTGAGATCACACCACTGCACTCCCGCCTGGGTAACAGAGTGAGACCCTGTCTCAAAAAAAAAAGTGAAAACTGTAGCAACATGATTATTAATATTATTAGTACAATTAGTATTAATAATACTATTATTAACACTGATAACAGTATTAATAATCATATGATTAATTATATTATTTATATAATTATTATAAATATAAATTTGTGAAACTGTCTTCATTTGAGTAAACATAGGAGAGAAACACAGAAAAATGAATACAGTTGTTTAGGGAAATAGTCTAGCACATAGTTTACATAGAAGTTATGTGGGCTGGGCACAGTGGCTCATGCCTGTAATCCCAGCGCTTTGGGAGGCTGAGGCGGGCAAATCATGAGGTTAGGAGTTCAAGATCAGCCTCTTCAACATGGTGAAACTCCGTCTCTACTAAAAATACAAAAAAAATTAGCCGGTCATATTGGAGGGCACCTGTAATCTCAGCTACTTAGACAGTTGAGGCAGGACAATCGCTTGAGCCCAGGAGGCAGAGGTTGCAGTGAGCTGAGACCACACCATTGCACTCCAGCCTGGGTGACAGAGCAAGACTCCGTCTCAAAAAAAACAAAAACAAACAAACAAAAAAAATTATGTGAAGGTCTTTGCAGTAGACTGGCCTGACTTTAAGATGGAATCCATTCTAGCTGGGTGACCATGGACAATCACAACTTCCAGCTTCAGTTTCCTCATGGGTAGAATGGGGGTAATAGTGCCCATCTCTCTGTTTCTGTCTTTTGCTCATGATCCACAGTAATATACAATTTACATTGTGACATTAATATGTTTAACTGATTAAAAAAACTTCAGAAAACATCGCTCACCCTCAGTGAGATGCACTTTGCTACTTTCCATCCCTGTTTTTTTTTTTTAACATTTTCAGGACCAACCTGCAGTTTGAGTAGTACCAACCTATCTCATGGAAGAACATCTATTGCGACAAATGTCACAAGAGAAATACTTAATAAAATACAAATATTTATATTTGGAGGATAGAAATATAAATTTTATTTAACATATTCATATTTATTCATGTTTTCATAAAGTTTCAGCTACCATCAATTTCCACCCAACCACTAAACAAATGTTTATTAAAATACCTATTTCAGACAAGGCATTATAGTAAACACAAATACAAACAAGATAATCTGTCATCCACCTAAGAGTTTAAAATCTCATGAAGGGCTGGGTGTGTTGGCTTGCACCTGTTAATCCCAGCACTTTGGGAGGCCGTGGCAAGTGGATCACCTGAGGTCGGGAGTTCAAGACCAGCCTGACCAACATGGAGAAATCCCACCTCAACTAAAACTACAAAAATTAGCCAGGCATGTTGGTGCATGCCTGTAATATCAGCTACTTGGGAGGCTGAGGCAGGAGAATCGCTTGAACCTGGGAAGGAAGTTGCAGTGAGCTGAGATGGCGCCATTGCACTCCAATCTGGGCAACAACAGTTAAACTCCATCTTAACAACAACAAAAAAAAAAAAAAAAAAAAAGAAAGAAGAAAGAAAAGAAAAGAAAGGAAGAAAGAAAAAGAAAAGTAGGATGAAGTCCAAGATTTAAAAAAAAATAGAATTGGACAACTGAATGGAGCATAACCAATTTCGACTCAGACGGCAGAAATGGTGAGGATTACATAGGTTACTCAAGAAGTTTTTAAACAAAGGATTTAAAGACATAAATTAGTCCTCCTTTATCTGCAATTTCACTTTCCATGGTTTTAGTTACTTGCAGTTAAGTGGTCCAAAAATATTCAGTGAAAAGTTCCAGAAATGAATAATTCTTAAGATTTAAATTGTGCACCATCCTGAGTAGAATGATGAAATCCCACACTATCTTGCCATGTCCCTCTGGGACATGAATCATGCTTTGTCCAGCATACCACACTGTATGTATACCTGCCCACTAGTCATTTAGTAACCCTTGTGGTTTGGTTACAGGAACAACAAAAAATGTGTAGTGCATTTAGGGTTTGGTACTATCTGAAGTTTCAGGCTTCTACTGGGAGTCTTGGATAAAGGGGATATTATAGAGGAGATATATGTGAAATACATAACATACAGCTTTCTCATATTTGCCCAACTTGCCTTCATAGCCACTGTATGAAGAAATGGAAGACCCAGATTCTTGCTTTATGTTGGTGTCAAAAGTCACTTCAGAGTCAGGCTGATCACTCCCAAGTGACCCAAGCGCTTCTTCTTTACTCCAGCTCTCTGTCTGCTGTTGACTCAGAATGTTACACTTCATTTTCTCCATTGCTGATATAATCATATCTGCAACATAAAAGTGGGAATTTTCCTGCAGAAAAAGAAATCAATTAATATACAAGCATAATGAACTTTTTTCATGGAGGGTGTATTAGATTTAAAATATCAAGAAGCTCTATTTAAATGGAGTTAAATTCATTTAACTGAGTTAACATAGGTCACTTCATGACTTCTAGCATACATTTTCCAGAAACATAGATTTGGCTTACTATAATAACAGACAACTCAAGCTGGATTTTTCTTTTTTTTTTTCTTTCTTTTTTTTTTTTTAGAGATGGGGTTTCACCATGTTGGCCAGGATGGTCTTGATCTCCTGACCTTGTGATTTGCCCACCTCGGCCTCCCAAAGTGCTGGGATTACAGGCATGAGCCACCACACCTGGCCCTCTTTTTGGATTTCTTGTTGTACAAAACCCTAGGATGGGGGAAGCCCAGTGGCAGACATCATTCATCAATCACAGAAAACTTTCCAGCTGAGCACAGGCACTGCCTTGGAACCCTTCTTAGCTTAGTGTTTCTGGCAGTCTCTACCAATCAAATGCTGAAAGGAAATGTATTTGTGATGTTTCATCAAATTGAAGTTTTCAGACTTAAATCAGAACAACACTATCTAAAGAATTAAGACTCTATGATTAAAAAGAAAGAACACAGCATTCACCTTTTCTACATCGACAGGCAGCACAAATACCTCTGGTGAGAAGGAATTCAAAGAAATGGTTCTACTGTCTTGAACAGCACCTGCCAATAAAGCAAGTTATTAAAACTGGAGAAAAGGGAATTTAAAGATTATCTAAAAAAATAAAACAATTCTAGTGGCTTTTAAATAATGTAAAAAAATAAGCACAATTCTAGAATAAATTAAGATGACAAGAAAAGAAAGATCTTCCTGATGGCAGGTCTTGCAGATTGCTTTAGTGATGGTCATTTCTAGGAGAGGCTGCTGGAGTGACTGGGAGGTATCCTCAGAGAAGGCATGGGAGAACAACCAGAGTGAAGACCAATGAGCAAAAGAGGGTAGAAAGAGAATAGAGTCCTGGGAAATCCCAAGAGAAGCTAGGGAAGGGTGAGACGCCACAGTCCAGAAGCAGGGCCCTACGGATTATAAGATCGCTTCTCTAACTCATTGTGATTGACCTTAAACTTCCTTTTTTCCCCCCTTCTTTTAAGACAATATCTTGCTCTGTCACCCAGGCCAGAGTTTAGTGGTGTGATCACAGTTCACTGTGGCTTCAACCTCCAGGGCTCAGGCAATTCTTCCACCTCAGCCTCCCTAGCAGCTGAGATACCTGTGCCACCATGCCGAGCTAATTTTCTAAATTTTTTTTTTGCAAAGATGGGGGTCTCATTAGGCTGGTCTCAAATTACTGGGTTAAAGCGATCCTTCTGCCTCAGCCTCCCAAAGTGCTGGGATTACAGGTGTGAAGCACTGCACTCAGCCCTAAACCTCGTGTCTAGAGAAATAAAATCCATCCAAAATAGGTCATCATTGCTTCTCCAAGATCGTATTCTTCCAGTCAAAACCAACAAACTGCAGAAGGTATATTCTGCTGACACATCCATTCCTGCACCCTTAGCCACTCCATTATTGGCAATGACCACCATCAAAACAAGCATTTTTTTCTGTCATGTGATTTCTTTCTGCAGCATTTAAAGCAAAAATTTCTGGGTAAAGAGCTGAGTTGTCTCAACCTGATAAATTAAAACAAAATGCTGCACATGGTGGTGGCACAGCTTTCAGAGTGACGGAGTTGCACGCAGGGTCATTCAAGTCCCTTGCTTCATGTTCAGGAAAGTAGCTGTTGCATGGAAAAACTTGGACTTCTTAGCTTCAAAAGCGAGGGGTTGGCAAACTTTTTCTGTAAAGGGCTAGGTAGTATATATTGGAGGATCTGAGGGCCATGCAATATCTGCTGCAACCACTCTATTCCGCTACTGTATTGAGAAAGCAGCTACAAACAAAAGAGAAATTCATTAATAAAAATAGGAAGCTGGCAGGATTTCGTACACAGGTCATAGTTTGCAGGCCCTGAGTATAGAGGAAAGAGCACAGAGTTAGCCGGGCATGGTGGCAGGTGCCTGTAATCCCAAGTACTCAGGAGGCTGAGACAGGAGAATCGCTTCAACCAGGGAGGCAGAGGTTGCAGTGAGCAGAGATCATGCCACTGCACTCCAGCCTGGGTGATTTAGAGTGAAACTCCATCTCAGAAAAAAAAAAAGAAAAGAAAAAGAAAAGAAAAGAGAAAGAAAAAGAGCACAGAGAAGAATAGAACAGAGTGGATTCCAGTTCCAGCTGTCCATTGACCAGCTATGCTTCTGCATCAAAATTTTCTCAGCCCTTAAATTGGGATAATTATGTATCAGGACATTAAGAACACAAAGGAAGGTGGAAGTGCTTGTAAACATGTAGTTCCCACAAAACAAACTGTGGAATCCCTTCCTACAGCCTCAAGAAATGCTTATAGACACAGATAATCTTTCCTAAAGTATTTTCTGAAAAAAGAAAACCCTTTTGCTACCATCTGAGATGCAGCATTCATGGGAATATCCACGTCTTAGTGGCTGGTACCTGTTTTCCCTATCGCTGCCCCCACAGTAGAGAAAGAATCAGATCACTCAGGGCTTCTTTTTCTTAATCTTAGAGAATGAATCCCTTTACCAAGTTTAAGAGATATTCTCGAAACATTTTGTGAGTGGTTTCTAAAGGCACTGACAGGAGCTCCTGGGAGTCCTTGTCTTTGAACAAAGGGGTTGGGGTACCTGTTTTCTTTCTGAGAACATGACAAAGCTAAAGGATAATTTTACATTGTAGAACTACTTCCTATACCGTGATAGAACCAAAGGCTTCAGGCAGGTATATGCTGGGCCCCAAAAATCATCTTCAATTTATTATAACTTGTCACTATGATGGTGCTCTGTTGGGGAGAGGGCTTTCCCCTATGAGACAATCTATTAAGACTAATCTCTCACTTAGCCAACTACTAAATTTGCAAGTCACTCTTAATCCTTAGAACCATCCAAGCAAGAGAGCAAAAAACTAGGAGAAAGAAAAAAAAAAAAATGATGGCCAGGTGCGGTGGCTCACAGCTGTAATCCCAGCACTTTGGGAGGCTGAGGCAGGTGGATCACGAGGTCAGGAGTTCAAGACTAGCCTAGCCAACATGGTGAAACCCCATCGCTACTAAAAATACAAAAATCAGCCTGGCATGATTACGGGCACTTGTAGTCCCAACTACGTGGGAGGCTGAAGCAGGAGAATGGTTTGAAACCAGGAGGCAGAGCTTGCAGTGAGCCAAGATCGCAGCACTACACTGCAGTCTGGGCAACAAAGACTCCGTCATTTAAAAACAAAACAAAAAAAAGCCTGTAATCAGTCTTGTCTTTTTGCTCAAACTTGGTCCTTATCTGAAAATTAACCATTGAAAGATTGTCCGAAATTTGTTCTTCTTAAGCTATGAATAAATGTGTTAAAAACTGTCATCATCTTTGATTGCTCACACATTTCCCAAAGAACAAATAAACCCCATATTTTAGGTAAGAGGGAAGAGAAGCCCCTGCTAGTGAGAAATAAATAGGCAGGCAGCAGGCAGACTGGTGGCTTTTTTAATTGATTTGAAAGAAAAAGCTTCATTGACTATTTGTACTAGGGCTCTAATGGAAATGTAAATTAATAATGACAAGTGTGACTATAACATAAATATTTAAAAATGAAATAAGCATGCCACATATTATAACAGTAATGGCTAACTTATTGACTCTTGACTATCCAATTTTTAGGAATTTTAGGGTCTTAGGAATACGTACATTACTTCATGGCAGTGAGAGCCCTTGTTTTAATAAGAAGAGATTTCGTATAGTCTTCGGGAGGAAGTGTAGTTATTGTTTTAAAATCTTACTATTTTCCCATCAGACTCTGCAAAGGTAAATGTAACAAGTGAAGCAAGTTCATCACCTACTAGGTACTGGTGTGAAATGGAGCCTCCGTGACTGTCTAGAAACACCTCCAAGCCCCACGCTGACTTGAGAGTGCTTCTGATGCCCTCCCTTGTAGACAATTTAATGAGCTCTAAGTTCCTGAAGGCAGACAGCAGCTTAAAGATGACCCGTGGCATTGATTATCAACTACGTTAAGCTAAAAAGATGAAAATTCCCTGCAGTCTAAGGAGAAAGCCAATACCTGATTTCACCTGTTATAACCACCCAGGTGGCTGGGCTGATGACAATCTTAAATGAGGTAATGCACTGGTGTCTGGTCAAAGTGGAAACCACGAACTTTTCTCCCATGGGGAAGACAGTAAGGCAGGCTTTAGAGCAAGACAAAGCAAGTGTGTGAAAAGAGAGGACTGAGGGAGGTCACCTACTACAATTACCTTCATCAGCAGAAGATGTCACGTGGGAAGGCTCAAAAAGATCACTGTCAATCTCAGGATATGGGGAGGCGTCCAAAATCCTAGGGCTTGTAAGCAGAGACACCTGATCAGAGCATCCTGGGGGGACCACTTGTCCTTCTGTTGAGGACAGAGAGAAGCTGCTCCTCTTTTCACTTGAGCCATGGAGAGAGGTGCTGCCAGCGGAGTCCGTGGTATCCTCTGACAATGTTGTCTCTGCCAGGGAGTCCCCAAGGCATAAAGGCGAAGGGCCTGAGGGAGAGGCAGCATCCATCACAAAGTGGGTCCCACTGTTCCCCGCTGCTGGCACCTGAGGTTGCAAGTCCTGCAGCTGTTTCTGCACATCGTGGGGGCTGATCCAGGAAGCTTTGTGCCTCATGAGCCTGACGTCTAATTGGCAAGGAGGATGGTCAGTGTTCAGGAGTCTGGGCGAACCATCAATAATGCCAGAGTGATTGCTCATCCCTTCCCAGGAGTCCACAGGAGAATCCTGCCCGACTGTAGACTGTGACACCATCTTTCCAGGTGTGGGGCTGGTGTGAATCCATTCAAAACAGATAGAGGGAGTTCCCCAATTACTGTGGTACTACTTGATTTGGGCCTTGAACTCACCACATGGCCAGCTGGAGGTCTGGAGAGTTATCCTGCAATGAGCAAAGAATCATTCAAAATAAGTAAGAATTTGATTGTATCTTGGCTACAAATTATTTTGAGATGACAAACCCCAAAACATTTATAAGTCTGTACTTGGCTCTACCCAACATAGTAAAGTCCACTTGGATTTACAAGTCAAAAAATAAGTAAATCAGCCATAAAACTGCAGCAGATCTAGAGAGGCTTGACATTGGGAGAGGATACATTTTTCAAAGCATAAAATTAAGAAATCACAAAGGAGATTTCTTACTGATAAATTACATAAAAATGTAAAATATCCATGCATCAGAATTATTTTAATAAAATTAAATGTCAAATTCAAGATGGAAGTAAAAACACATTTGCATATTTTTACTCTTATCACCTAGGCTGGAGTGCAGTGGCGCAATCTCGGCTCACTGCAACCTCCGCCTCCCAGGTTCAAGGTATTCTCGTGCCTCAACCTCTGGAGTAGCTGGGTTTACAGGCACTCACCACCACACCTGGCTGATTCCTGTATTTTTAGTAGGGACAGGGTTTCACTTGTTGGTCAGGCTGGTCTAGATCTCCTGACCTCAGGTGATCTACCTGCCTCAGCCTCCCAAAGTGCTGGAGTTACAGCTATGAGCCACCATGCCCAGGTATTTCCATATGTTCTTATTTTCATTTAGTTGGTCCTTGTGTTTCAATGAAGTAGGCAAAGTAGTACCTAAAACAGAGGAATGATCCATAGTACTAAAGATTTGGCTCATGTAACTTTTACCTTTCATACTTACAATATCAATATCAATGTATTATCAGTTCATAATATTTAAATAACACAGTGTCAACCTAGAATCCAAATGACCCACTCACTTCTAAGCTCAGATTTTAGCTTTACTGAAGAGGTAATGATTAAAATGTTTAGAGCAACACAAATAAGATGCACTCTTGTCACTGCAATTACAGGCTAGAGAAATGTTTTCTTTTTCTGTTCCCCCACTGCCCTTTGCATTGTGAAGCTAAAAGCAACTTTCAACAGCAAAAGCAAGAAGAGCCAGGAGAAGGCCTAGAGATAGAAGGATGGCCTATGCCACATTCACCCTGCACAGTAGTGAACATGAGACTCTGGAGTCAATTACAGGGCTGCAAATACCATCACTGTGTATGTAGACAATTCCCTCATATATCTCTCTATTTCTGATCTCCCAGCTAGCACGTCTTACTGCCTATTTGACATTTGTCCAGTGGGCATTGCAACCCGATGCATCCAAAACAGTCATTCATTTCTCCCCAAACCTGCTCCTTCCCTGCTTCCCCCACCTCTCCCACCCCAGTCGCCCAAGCCTGAAACTTAGGAGTCATTTCTGATCCTATCTTTCCTTAGCTCTCCACCTTCATTCAATCAGCAAGTTTATAGCAATAGCTGCCATCTTAGTCTGAGAAAACATCTTCTCACACCGGGACATGCAGCCAGAGCTTCCCAATGGGTTTCCCTGCTGTTACTCTTGCCCATTTATTTTATTTTATTCTACTTTTTTTGAGATGGAGTCTTGCTCTGTCACCCAGGCTAGAGTGCAGTGGTGCAACCTAGGCTCACTGCAACCTCCGCCTCCTGGGTTCAAGCAATTCTCTGCCTCAGCCTCCAGAGTAGCTGGGATTACAGGTGGTCGCCACTACATCTGGCAAGTTTTTGTATTTTTAGTAGAGATGGGGTTCCACCATCTTTGCCAGGATGGTCTTGAACTCCTGACCTCGTGATCTGCCTACCTCAGCCTCCCAAAGTCCTGGGATTACAGGCATGAGCCACCACATCAGGCCTGTAACACCATGTTTTAACCCCCCAGAGGGGTGCACCGTTCCTGGAGATACTGCAATACCAGGTGAATGTGTGGAGTAGATGGAGCAAGCTCCTATTCCATATCCCTGCTCCAAAAATCCATTTAATATATTGTCCTCAGACAGAGGACATACCAGATATTAAACTGATAAGAATGGATACTACACTCGATCTTAGCCGAAAGGCTGAGAAGCCATTACTCTTGCCCATTTATAATCAACAGGTATTCAGAGATATCTTTTTTAAACCTAAATCAGATCATGTAGTTGCCCTAATCAAAATTCCCCAAAGGCTTCCCATCAAATCTGGAATAAAATCCAGACTCCTTACCTTGTCCTCAAGGCCTGACATGAGGCTGTCCCTGTGAACCTCTCTCACTTATCTTCATCCAGCCTCCATAAGCCCCAACCACACTGCAAGCTCTTGAGCCCTATAGGCTCCTTCTAACCCTAGGAGTGCTGTTCTATGTTTCCTCTTTCTGAAATGCTCCACCCCTGGATGATCACACATCTAGCTCTTGCCTGTTGCAAATGCCTTGATTTATAAATTACTTCCTCAAAGGTATCTTTCCTAACCACCTTTCTTAAGGTAGCTCCCCCATCATTACCTCTCACATTTATTTTTCGTCACAGAGGTGCTTGCTTCCTGCTATTTTTTAGTTCATCACTGCCATTCTTCCCCCCACCCCCACCTGACTATAAGCTCCATGAGAGAAGGGGCCTTGCCTGTTCCCTGCCAGATAGCATGCCCCATACCTAGAGTGGCATACAGGGGTTCAGTACATGTTTATAGACTGAAAAAACAAATCCAAAAAAATAGAGACAAAGCTAAAAACTAGAGAAAAGGCTGGGTGCAGTGGCTCACTGTTCTAATCCCAGAAATTTGGGAGGCTGAGGCAGGTGGGTAACCCGAGGTCAGGAGTTCAGGACCAACATGGTGAAACCCCATCTCTACTAAAAATACAAAAATTAGCTGGGTGTGGTGGCAGGCACCTGTAATCCCAGCTACTCAGGAGGCTGAGGCAGGAGAATTGCTTGAACCCGGGAGGTGGAGGTTGCAGTAAGCCAAGACCATGGCATTGCACTCTAGCTGGGGTGACAGCAAGACTCAGCCTCAAAAAAAAGAAAGAAAGAAAGAAAGAAAGAGCTAGAGAAAAGACTTATGTGGCAGCTACAACTGTTCTATTAAAAGAATTCACTTCTATTCTTGTATGAGTTCAGAATTATTCATTACTCATACAAGAATAGAAGTGAATCCATGTTTCCTAAAACCATGAAATTGTTCTCACCCAATAATAAGATAAAAGTTCAGTAGACCAAAATAAGGTACATATGAAAATTGTTCTGGAGACTTTGAGTCTCAAGAATTTTTGAGACTTCTTCATTTGTGGGCCCTATATTCTGGTTCATACCTTTTGGAGTAATAAACATTACATGTATAATTTATATGCACACACACAAACACACACACACAGTTGACCCTTGAACAACATGGATTTGAAGTTCGTGGGTCCACTAATATGTGGATTTTCTTCCACATCTGTCACCCTGAGGCGGCAAGACTAACGCCTCTTCTTCCTCCTCCTCTTCCGTCTACTCAACATGAGAGGATGAGGATGAAGACCTTTATGATGATCTATTTCCACCTAATGAACAGTAAATATATTCTCTCTTTCTTATGGCTTTCTTAACACATTTTCTTTTCTCTTCTTTACTGTAAAAATGCAGTATATAGTATTCTACACTAACATACAACATATGTGTTAATCAACTGTTATGTTATCGGTAAGGCTACAGTTAACAGTAGGTTATAAGTCCTGTTAAGTTTTGGGGAGTCAAAAGTTACGTGCAGATTTTCAACTGCACAGGGTGTTAGCATCCCTAACCCCTGCATTGTTGAAGGGTCAACTGTATGTGTGTATATATCTTTTGTATATAACACATATTGTTTCTGGATGCAAATATATACATATATATTTCTTTTGTATACAACATATATTAATATAGAAATGCACCTTTTGTATGTAACATACATATATATACATATACATGCATCTTGAAAACACACAAAAAGCCCCAAATCACCATTCACAAAATATCACAGAAGGCCAACCACAGTGGTTCATGCCTGTAATCGCAGCACTTTGGGAGGCCAAGGTGGGTGGATCACCTGAGGTCAGGAGTTCAAGACTACCCTGACCAACATGGTGAAACCCTGTCTCTACCAAAAATACAAAATTAACTAGACATGGTGGTGTATCCCTGTAATCCCAGGTACTTGGGAGGCTGAGGCAGGAGAATTGCTTAAACCTGGGAGGCGGAGGTTGCAGTGAGCCAAGATCATGCCATTGCACTCCAGTCTGGATAAAAAGAGTGAAGCTCTGTCTCCAAACTATGTGTGTGTGTGTGTGTGTGTGTGTGTGTGTGTGTATATATATATATATCTCTCACAGAGTACAGCTGGCTGTGTTAACTGCCAGAACTCACTAGCCCAAAATGCCTATCTTTCTTCTCCTGACCTCAAATCCCAGCTTGTACAGCAATTTCTCTTTGTCACACATCCTTTCTTCTCCACTAATTCTGGATTTAATTACAAAAGGAAACCATGACTACGTTTTTACGAAATGCCCAAACACAGAAGCCTAGAGTGAAAAGCAAACAGCTCTCATCACCCTAAGCCCCACAATCCTGCTTTATTCTCAGAAATAACATGTTAACCATTCTATTCTTTCTAGCCCTTTATCTATGAATTAGTGTACAGATTTCAGACAAAAAGATGTTTTCTTTTTTATACACATCCATGGGATCATACTGAAGATATTTTACAACTTACCTTCTTTTCCACTCAACAGCATGTCTTGAAGGTATATCTGATTCTCCTAAATAGTCTTAGCATAAATACATCATATTTTACTTAGCTAGACCCTCCTGATAGCAATTTATCTTTAGCTTTTTGCAAGTATAAAGTAGACAACAATGAACATCCTCGTTCATGTCATTTTTTGGTTGAATTTCTCTTTTAGGTCCTTTCTCTTACTAATTCCACTCAGTCTGAGTCCATAGTTCATGACAATCTCATTATTTCCAAGAGAATAAAACTATATAAGTAAGTTATGGTTTACTCTCAATTTTCTACACATATCCTTTGTGTGTTTGGTGGGGGGAGATGATTATAGATGTGAAACCACGTGAAAAATATGCAATATGCAATCTCAAATGGTAAAGTAGTAGTGACGCCAGTGGTTTTGTTTTTTTGAGATGGAGTCTTGCTCTATCATCCAGGCTGGAGTGCAATGGCATGATCTCAGCTCACTGCAACCTCTGCTTCCTGGATTCAAGGGATTCTCAAGCCTCAGTCTCCCTAGCAACTGGGATTACAGGTGGGAGCCACCACGTCCAGCTAATTTTGGATTTTTAGTAGAGATTGGGTTTTACCATGTTGACCAGGCTGGTCTTGAACTCCTGACATCAAGTGATCTACCCAACTCAGCCTCCTAAAGTGCTGGGATTACAGACGTAAGCCACCATGCCTGCCCAACCCCAGCGTTCTTTATAAACAGATTAAAGTCAACAGTTCAAAGAGAATGACCTTATTTGCTGGCCTCCCATACACGGACTGATCTAAGTGCATTGAGCAAAAACCAACTTCCTCATAAAATGCAACTGTCAGAAGCAGATGTTTGCTTCACTTCCTTCTAGAAAAGTGTTGTTGCTTCACAAAAATAATCAGCAGGTGCTGCTTTGCCAGGTTACAAAATCAAAGCATTAAGAGCTAGAATAGGCCCATAATAGATTCACAACCACGTCTAAGGTCACAGCGAGGCAGTGGCAGAGAGAGGACAAAAGGCTAGGTCCAACGCTCACCAGGAGTATGAGTTTCTCGAAGAGGCAGATTGACACAGAGGAGAGAATAATGATTGGAAACCATCAAAGTCCATGCAGTAGTGGCAGCAGGTCATGATTCCCATTTTTATTTTATCTTTAAGGCAACAAATAATTTGTCAGGGGCTATGATACCATTGCCAGGTATGTTACTTGTTGCCATATTGCTTGTTGTGTGTTATTCAGTTAAGAAGTATTCACTGAGCATCTACCACAAGTCTGGCATTGTTTTTATTTTGGTAGCACTGGGGTCACAAAACAGCAGGGACTAAAATAAGCTTCCTGTCCTCCCACAGCTTATGTTCTGGTAGAAGGAAGATAGTGTATAGACATACCACGTATTCAGACATACATACATTTCAAGAAGTGATAAGCAGAGGTAATACAGGTCTAAGCAATACTTAGCATCTTCTCGACATCCTTTCCAACTGTCAAAAGGGGGTCCTTTGAATCAGAGATTCTTAGGTACAAAAAATAAAATCAATTTCCAAAAACATTTAAAGGAAGAGAGATCAATCTCAAACCTTACCATCACTCTTACTGAGATTTTCCGGCTGGGATTAAAGGGTAAGCACAGGCCAGAGTACTAGTTAACATACAAGCTGCAGCAAAGGCCCTGGACAAACAAGAGACTTCAAGACTCCTCCAGCCAAGTCATTCTGACATCAGAGTCAGTGGCCCCATCGAGAATGATTGCATCACTAGAGCCACCACAGAGACACAGTATTAATAGCAAAGATGCAACTTCCGTAGGAGGGACAGGTGCCTCAGTTGGGCATGAGCCATCATGATGTCTACAGTGACCTCACAAAAATCTTTCAGATCATAAGCAGCCAGCACCTTGAGAGCAAAGCAGCTTTAGCTCCCAATACGTATAACAGTCTTCAAGTTATTTCACAAATAGGTAAAAGTACATCAGATTTAGCATTTAGGGTTTTCTGTGCTCCAACACTAACTGCCTATTGAATACATAACTAGGGGCATCAGAGTAATGACACATCTTAAATCTTACCTTGTCAGTGAGGCCTCCCTGGTACCCTATAAAAACCAGCAATTGCCCCTCCCCCCCCAAACAGTTCCTATACCCCTTTTTAGCTGTTTCTCTCTTTAGCACAAACCTCACTGTATTTAACCTCAATGATTAGCACTGACCAGAATGTTAAATCTATGAGGGTACTTTTTTTTTTTTTGAGACATAGTTTCCGTCTTGTTGCCCAGGCTGGAGTGCATGGTGCAATCTTGGCTCACTGAGACCTCTGCTTCCCAGGTTCAAACGATTCTCCTGCCTCAGCCTCCCCAGCAGCAGGGATTACAGG